ACAGTGTGAACCGGACTCATAGCGACAGTAATGACAGACACATTAACTCTGATCGTGGCGACAGTATGGACAGACCATAAACTCTGATCGTGGCGACAGTATGAACAGACACATAAACTCTGATCGTGGCGACAGTATGACAGACACATAAACACTGATCATAGCAAAAGTATCACAGACACATTAACACTGATCGTGGCGAAAGACAGACACGTACACACGAAGCGTGAGCGTGAAGAGTTCCGATTCACGCCGAGGCTGAGGAAACGACCTAATTTTTTTACTACCATAATATGTTATTAGCTCGACTGCGCAGCAAGCTGTCACATTCCCTTCTGATAACCGCATTGCATTCCATAATCCGTCCAGCGGAGAAAGTGATAAATTACAAAGTTGCCAGCGCGCTAAGTCGCTGCTAAAGAGACCAAAGCTCATCTAAGCCCTTCCCGGTCCAGTGCTGGGCATCGAATGGTCTGCAGGTAGCACATAGAGTCACGCATCGACCCTGGCTCGGTGACCGAGGCCCGCACCTCGTCGGCGCCGACTCGGATGTGGTTCGGTGACCCGGTGCCCTGTGACCGGCTAGGGGACGCGGCTCACCTTTGGTGCCCGGTATACCAGGGAAGCCGGGCGGGCCGATCGGGCCGGCGGTGCCCGGTGCGCCGGGAGATCCCTGCCAAAAGAGCTCAGAGTCGGAGGGGGTCGCTGGAGCCGTGCTGACCGCTCGGCCACAGCTCTGACGGGCACTTGGCCCAGAGATGTGAACAGGGCAGGGGGGACGCTCGGCGGACATCTCTGCTAGGGGCTGAGAGGCCAAGGCACGAAATGCGAATGTAGAGTGCACAAAAAAACTTTTCGGCCCCATGTGCAAAATCGACAAGACTGTTTGAGGGCTGCTTTTGACAATTGCTACTCATCATAACTGATCAGCAGTGCGTACATACAAGGGCGTCCTCTTGAGCGGCAGAACAAGCGCACTTATGTCGCAGATTGCTTGCGCATAGTTCCACATGTTGGTCAAATGGAGCTGTATACAGGTGCGGCATACACACTAGGACCGGTATTGGTTTTGGGAACGTTCAAGTACGACTGCATGCGCTAATAAAACAGTTTTTCGAGTATTCACTGACATCGTGTTTGTTCAGACTTTAAGCTATAAGGAATATCCAAACCTTGTTAACTATAAGGTGAATGCGACGAGAAGAAACCTTAGGCTTTGGAACACAAAATAGACATCACAACGGTGGAGGTTTTCAACTAGAGCTAATGCAGAACAAAGGTAAAAATAAAACGAACGCTTGTGCAGTATGGGCTTCAGGTCACTGCGTTATAATGCTATGACACGCCTCTACGCTGTAAAGTGGTACGCAGCTGATGAAGGCATCGGGCTGCCAAAGGGCCCATGCTGAGGAAAAGGCTGCGGCAACAACCGCATGCCGTGGAGGCCGAGCGGCTGACACGAGTGGGCCGGGCGGCGCGGGCTGGGTGCTCACGTCAGTGCCGTTGCAGCCGTCCAGTCCGGGGAACCCGCGCGGTCCGGCGGGACCCGGCAGGCCCGGGATACCGTTGATGCCGGGGAAGCCCGGCATGCCCATCTTGCCCTGCGGGTAGGTCAGGTGCGTTACCGCCCCGCTGCCCGGACTCAAGCGACTGCCGACGACAGGCCGGACCTCATCGGGCGTTACACCGCTCTCTGAGGGAAGGTCCAGCCAGGGCCTGGCGAGGCCCGGCACGTCTTACACTGCGTGCTAAACATGGATGCGTGCATGAACTGGGCATCCTGCCCGTGTATAAGGTACAACTAAACATCGTCCGGCATCAAATGGATGGATGAAATGGTGAAAGCATACTAAAAGCCACTAGTTCCATTCCTCAGCATGGCTTGCACTCCTGCGACTCTCTTAATCGGAAGTTAAACCAGACCTTAAAGTCCAAAGAAGCCGACCCCGCGCGCTCTCCCGCTGTCTCTCACCCGGTCTCCGACCAGGCCTCTGGGCCCCTGCGGACCGCCGTCGCCCTTCAGGCCCTTCGGTCCGGGCAGGCCCTCCATGCCGGGGAAGCCCTGCTGGCCTTTGACGCCAGCCGGTCCCTGGGAGCCAGGGGCGCCCTGAGGGCGCAAGAATCGGTCAGAGGTCAGCGGGGTCACGGCAGGCAGCGTGACCGGCGCACTCACTTTGAAGCAAGTGTCGAGATCGGTTGCCGGAGGCGCAGCGGTATGCGAAGGCGGTACATTGGCGGCCGGAGCGACCGTCTTTTATACTGCTCGAGGCCTGAGAATAGCCGCAGGCACACGACACACATGGCACGGCACTCCACAACGCGGTACTTCGGCACACGTTGGCGCTAGGTGAGGTGTGTTGGAGCCCCTCCGGAAGGTACGAGTCAACCACGTTCCGAAGATGTGTGACATCACACCCTGTATCCAAACTCAAATCCAACCAATGACGTGTCGTCAGGACGGGCCACCCGCCCGTTCCCAAAACGTTCACCTGTACCGATGTTCCTGCATACGTTGACAGATGCGTCCTTGAGCAAGCATGCTGTCATACAATCCTTGCGCAGCACCGCACTGGTGGCTCGGCTGGGCACAACAACAACCCATTTGCGACGCAAGTGAACCAGCGACCTCTGTTGCCAAACAGCTTACGGCCACAACCAGCCGCGACGCAGCCCGTCCATCGCGCGATGCCCGGAGTACATTACAGCTTACCGGTCACAACCAGCCGCGATGCAGCCCATCCGTCGCACGATGCATCGGAGTGCAATACAGCTTACCGGTCACAACCAGCCGCGATGCAGCCCGTCCATCGCGCGATGCCCGGAGTACATACAGCTTACCGGTCACAACCAGCCGCGATGCAGCCCGTCCGTCGCACGATGCATCGGAGTACATAACAGCTTACCGGTCACAACCAGCCGCGACGCAGCCCATCCGTCGCACGATGCACTGGAGTACATAACAGCTTACCGGTCACAACCAGCCGCGATGCAGCCCGTCCATCGCGCGATGCACCGGAGCACATAACAGCTTACCGGTCACAACCAGCCGCGATGCAGCCCGTCCATCGCGCGATGCACCGGAGCACATAACAGCTTACCGGTCACAACCAGCCGCGATGCAGCCCGTCCATCGCGCGATGCACCGGAGTACATTACAGCTTACCGGTCACAACCAGCCGCGATGCAGCCCGTCCATCGCGCGATGCATCGGAGTACATCACAGCTTGCCGGTCACAACCGGCCGCGATGCAGCCCGTCCATCGCGCGATGCACGGAGTACAAGCTTGCCGGTCACAACCGGCCGCGATGCAGCCCGTCCGTCGCGCGATGCACCGGAGTACATAACAGCTGCATACTTCACCCCTGGCATAGCGCACGGTGCGTCACTGAACTGAGCGACGTCACTGAACGCCTCCGCCCCCACATTGCGTCGCGCGCCTTCCTACTGCACCCTCAGCCCGGCACTTACCCTGCTGCCCTTTTCGCCGACGCATTTGCAGCCACCGGCGCCGCAGCCGCCGGCGCCACACTTCTGCGCGGCGCCCGGCGGCCGTGGCTCTACGTCCGTCTGGCCGTCGCGGGTCTGGTAGAAGCCATAGCCGAAGTTGTCGCCCCGGCCGTCCACCGGCGCTGGCCGCGAGTAATCGACCTGCTGAAAACGCAGAGGACGGCGTCCGGTCAGTGGACGGTGCAGATGGGCACACGGATACTGGCGGGGCCCCGGCGGACACGGACGGTTGGACACTGGAGTCCCTGATGCAGTTGCGCAGATCTGCACATGAGTCTCGGATGGACACGGACGGATAGGAAAACCCTGATCCCCCTCGGCAGAACACTGCGGACGGTTTCACTGCTTGCTATGTGAGAACTGGAGCTCCCCATGTCGGGCGGGGGGTTATTAATACTTCGTGTATGTGTGATGATGATGATGATTGGAGTTTGAGAGCGTGCCGACTGCGCTGGCCATTTCGCGCCCGGGGCGCTGCTGAACGGAGAAGCATCTGTCTTCACGCCCCAACAACAACACGCCCGACCAATATCCAGCGGGCAACGAACGGCAACACGTCGAAGCGGACTACGGTCGCCGCGGGAACACACGGCCCCATCAGCCGGCGCCGAGCGAACTCCAATCCCGCCGTCAGCAGCCGTTCACAACACGCCGACGCCCATCAGAGAGGCCGGCGTCTGGCCGCAGTCCAGTCTGTCGGTCCGGCGCCGGGCCGCCGGCAGCGGACGGCCGAGCCGCGCCCGGCGGCCGCCGCCGGCCTGTCCTGCTGCACGCCCCCCCCGCCCCCTGCTGACGAGCCGCAGCTGGCGGCTGCCCGAGCGCAGCCGCCCACGCGGGCCGCTGCGCTCGGCGGCAGTCGTCCGGCACGACCGCGACGCCGTCACCGCCGGCGGTTCCCCCCACCCCCCCCCCCCCCCCCCCCACCCCCACCGCCCTGCCTCCCCCGCCGCCGGCGAAGGCGGCCTCTTTGAGTACGCAAGGATGGGACGACCAGTCGCGCAACATTAATGTGGTATGTGCGCGCGCGCGTGTGTATGTCGAAATTGCCGATGCTGCAGCCTCCCTTACCTTACATTTTAGCAAGGCCGTATAAATCTTGTGAACAGCAAGGTAACAAATAGGGTTGTTTACCCGTTATCAGTGCGACGACTTTAACTTTTTGTGTTACACGGCCTTCTTCAGCATGTACAGCAACGGTTTTAAGGTGCATAAATGTGCGTAGCAATGGGTAGTTCAAACCCGGCGTTTGAAACATATTGTCCAGCTTTCCGAGGGCTTGATTAAGGACCTGGGGTTTTCAGTTTCATTTGTTGTGCAGCCAACGTCCTACGGCGGCGCAGGTGCCGTACTTCGCTTTGTGAATCCAGTCACGAACCCACGGTTATTTTCTGCCAGTTTGCACGGGCCAAACTAAACCAACAGCCTCCCACCGACTATACCCAGGGACTCGCCAACGGCTGCCGTCGAGGCGGTAGGAACAACAAGCTCGTGCTTAAGCCGCTCATGTGCCGGACACCGGCGGCGAGGGCCCGGGGCGTCCGGCAGGCTCTGGGGCGCAGATGAAAGCTGCAGCGGAATCAGGTCACGCCGGCGAGTTTTGTTATGCTAACGAGCGATGTCTCGGCGTCAGTTTGCGCGATGCAGACTGGGGAGCGCGCTGGTAGTGTGCAGAGTCGCTGACCTCCAGCGTGGTCCGCTCTGGCTGTAACGGGTGGGCTCGAGTGAAGCTTCATGAGGAGGAATGCGGCTCTAAGTAAACGTAAAGCTCGTTGCTTGTTTAACAACTGGCGCCGACGCTCGGTGTTGGCAGCATAGCTTGTCTTCGCAGTCAAAAATGTGCAAAACTCCTCGCTAGATGCGCTGCGAAAAAGTAGGACGTTACGCACTTTCATGGACTCGAAGGTACCATCTGGCCCGCGACGCGTGCGTATGTATATAGTTTATTACAGACTGCCTCTGGCATGCCACCGCTGGGCAGATACCGTCTCTGACACACGAACTTGTTATCCTTTGGACGCACCGTGACGGCCGGCGCGCTTATCTCATACAAACACTAAGTGGGCCGGGTTTTAGTTCGCTTCTCTGCGATGTGTCAAGGGGCGCTGCCTTGAATTTGACAGCGTTTCTCATAAACAGTGAAATCGCGCGGGAGCGAACGTGCCGATTTCTGGGAACTCGTCGTTAGTGGTCCATGGCCAGCTGAGCTTTCGCGCTGCGGCTCACCTACACACATCGTCAACGTGTGACAATGCAGAGACGGGGCGACTGTTCCATCCTTTAAAGATAAGACGAGGATAACAACTGGCGGCCCAAAGAAGCAGTGACAGTGAATCTTCTGAAACTAAGGGATGAGGGGAGGTAAGCAAAATTTTCACCTCAAACTCTTTCCGTACAACGCCATAGATTTTAAGCCATTTTTCAATGATCAGGCAGCTGTCCCCACATCCCTCTCGTTTTCGCTGTCCATGCAAAAGTGGTCCCTGCAAACAGTGCTGCATTTCTTTGGAACCAATCGGTTTGACGCTTTGTACAATCGACAGTACGACAAATCCACCACTGCCAACTTCAATACCGCCAGGCATCCCACCAGTTCGCTGCGCCAAGCACAACACGTCAGCAAGGCAAATCATTATGCACGCCAAACGTAAACAGGCCGCCTCTCGAAAGCCGTTTTTCCGTTCGGTCTGACGGCATCGCCTTTCTAAGAATATCCTACCCAAGACGCACCGCGGCAGACACCCACAAGCGTCCCCCGACCGGCGTCCAAAGGCTGAGATCACCGTGGGCCAGAGCTCCCCCGGCGCCAGAGGTTACTCATCACACCTGCGGCTGTCCGGGTCATTTCCTGGCCGGCGGCGGCGGCGCGGCGTTCCCGGCGCCCCCGGACGCTGCGGCCCGTTGCGTCAGCGGACGCGCGGTCCGGGCGCCAGTGGACACGGACCCGGACGGCGGTGGTCTGCGGTCCGGACGCCGGCGGGCGGCGCCCGGTCGCCGACCACCGCCTCCAGAATGTAAACAATGCCGGTGTCAGGTGTCGCTCGCAGTGGCGTGGAGGATTCCGACCCTGCTCTGTGGGCCAGCAGCTGTCACGGCGGCCGACGGCCAGGCGCTAGCCGCTTGCCAGTCTCCGCCCCAGCATACGAACTCGTCCGGCCGACAGCTGCTGCTCGCGGGACTCGGGCCAGAGCGTGGATAGCTTCAAACTTTGTCAGTGGAGTGACGTTATTTCTTTGGAAGGCAGAAGCGTCTGCACGTTTTGCCGAGTAAATATTTACATGCATAAGACGTGTTTTCTTGAAGCACGTTCCAAATTTAGGCGTCATTCTCTATGCACCGGAAAAGTGTTGTCCGTATACGATAACGCGACGTAGGACAGTGGGTTCGGAATGATCCGACGAATCAACTGGCGATCAACGCGTAGTTCAGAAACATAGCCAAACGCAGTTCCACATATCGATGCGTACAGCGTGCCTTCAGCGTTGCAATAGGCACGTGTGCACAGCGTGTACGTGAGCTACGCACAAGGAGCGAGGAACAGGTGGCGGGGATGGAGCAGCAGGGTCAGGAGGCCGCCCGCCTCACAGCCACGTGTGGTCGTGTCTCAGCGTCGGCCAAGGCTCGTCCCACACCTTATAGGAGATGTGAAAGATGTCAACGCCAAATGACCTTAGATGCTGAATGCATCATTTCACATGAAAAAATAGCATGACTGTTATTAAAAAGCGGGTAGCATGGTGGTTATTGGAGGAGGAAGGGTGGCGTTCAGTCGGCATTTTGGGAGCATCCCACAGCCATCAAATCTGGACACATCACGACATCGCAAGTTCATAACTCCGGTGGCCAATGTCTCTGCATGCTCTCTGTTCATGGGCATCGCGATTGCATACTTTTGGCGACGATTTTGTTCCAATTGGTCCAGTTCTCCACCACTGTAACACCAGCCGGAAGCGCAAGCTGTGCTGGCGGCCAAAACAACGCCGGAGCTGTTTTCTGAGCACAGTATCGGTGACTTCACGCCACCGCAGCGTCGCCCTGTTGACAAGCTGCGTGTTTGCGTGCTGACGGGGACACTGCACTGCGCAGCTGGGCCCAGTCAGCTGACTGCGCGCGCTCAGCTGGCGGGGGCGGCACGCGCACTGCGCCTCAGCGCCGGCGGTCGGACGGGCGGCCGCAGCTGTCGGCGACTTCAAAGGCGCCCGGCCGCCGCCAGCGCACCGCTGGCAACACAGCCACGGGGTGGGGCTGGCTTCTGTCGTCGGCCTGGTGGGTTCGCACAGCCAGCGCCGCCAATAAAAAACGTCAGTTTGCGCGGCTAGTTAGCACCCGGAGAGGCGATTATTTGTACGCTGCCGTTTATCGTCGCTGCGTTTACAATAGCTCTCATTGCATTACACGTTTCAGCCGGGCCAAGTCAGCTCGATCCCGAGCCCAGCTGAGCTCGATGCCGTGGCGCCCGCCGGCTGGCTGTGCACCGGCGGCTGGCCAGTACCGGATGCGGTGGGAGACGGCTGTCTGCGGCTCGTGGCACGTGCACAAACAGCACGCACCCACACACAATACCGCTGTTAGTGCACCGGTGAACGTGATGTAAACCCACGAACGCCTCTCGATTTATGCGGGCACCGCTGGGAGACCAGCGCAGTGGACGCGTGTGCTCGATGCTGCTGGAGGTGAGGCTGGTGTTTATGCTGAGAGACGAGCAAACGTAAGGTTTCGACGAATGAACGAAGTGAGGTGGAGGCTTGAACGCTGGGCAGTATCTTCAGTACTTTGGTTGTTGTTCGCCACGATGCTGTCCGTCATCAACCGTTTACAGGGGCGCAACCAAGGGTGGGGGAGGCCCGGACCCCCATCGGGCCGGATTTTTCGTTTTTCACCATAAATGATTCCCATCAAAAAGAGTATGAAATAGGCATGATGCCTACTCGCAGAGGTCCCCCCCTTAAATACATCCTGACTGTGCCCCTGACCGTCATATCTAGTGACATCCTCATGGTGGCCTCTGCTCAGAGAGCAAAGACCGAAACTGGAAGATGATCGGGCTTCGAACCGAGACTAATGGCAATTGACCGGAGCTGCAGAGGGCAATGCGACAAGCTAAAATAATGCGTGTGGTGTGCCGAAGAGAACAGGAATCTGACGCA